GAACTCGAATATTGTATGCGATAATGCGCAGTGTGCAATCTTCAGATCCTAAACTTCTTCTGAAAATTTATAAAACATTTGTTCTGCCAGTTGTGGAATATTGCAGCTTTGTATGGTACCCTACTTTGAAAAAAGATGTTGATAAAATTGAAAAAAATTCAAAGAATATTTACTAAGATTGTCTTCTATCGCGCATTTCCCATTCCGAATTACCCTTTCGCCTTGCCAAACTACACAACCAGAATTCGCAAGTTAGGTCTTAAAACTCTTTTCTACAGAAGATTGTTAGCAGATACTATTATGGCCTTCAAAGTTCTGCGAGCCGAGGTGGGTTTGAAACCCAGTAAATACTGGGTTTTCCAACTTATCAGTGAACGCAGGGCCTCTTTTAATCTGGTTGTTTCTAGGTTTGGAAAGCACAACATCTCGTTGCAACGCAACAACTTCTTTTACCGAGCAGCTTCGATCTTGAATAAACTTCCACCACCATTCTTAGCTTTAAATTCAGTGGCTCAATTGAAAACGGCGTTGAAGAAAGTAGATTTACTGCAGTTAATGGGAATTGATGATGTGAAGTAATTTTTTTGAGAATTATTTTGCCATCCTTTCTTTGGTATGATCCGCTGCATTCTTTCGATGTTATCAGCCGTACTTTGGCAGCATGGGCCTCAAACGGTTTCCTTTCTTGTTTTTTTTGTCCTGTCTAGCTCTGTTAGTCTCATTGTACTTTCAAAAATTCACTCATCCTTCCTCGGGGCTTTAACCAGCTAGCTTCCGCCCGTAGGCTCGCTGGCCTCCACAAAAGAGGGACTTTAATTTCTGAAAGACAGTGAGATTAACAGTTTTAATATGCTATACACCAGAGTAACAACTCTGGCCACTCTTTACCCTAAGGTAATCCCAGGGATAAGTTTTGGGGCCTTAGTTTTTCTGTGCTTCCTGCAGGGTTACATGCCAACGATTGGTTCATACGTGTTTTTTTTTTCATGTGTTTTTGACTAACCATGCGATGGTGATATATTGTGTTTGTTACTAACCGCTCCGATCAGGATCAAAAAGCACTTTTGGTGCATTTAAATAAATAAATAAGTAAATAAATCATGAACTTCTTGATCCTAGATAGGTTTCAAGGTACCGTTCGATAGAGCAAATCAAGCTCTACAAGATGGCTAAAAAGATCCAACTACCCGAAAAATCGAGAAAAAATCATAACTCCGTTCAAAAAAATTCTGTAAAAATTCTAACTTGCTCGCGTAAACAGTATCCATATAGCACATTTATATACGCCATTGCCGTGTTTTTTCCTTGGCTAGAAATCAAGAAAACAAAGATTTTCATGCTTTTGCCAAAATGGTGCTGTGATGTCCCTACATAGATAGTTGTATACTACTAGCCTGTAAAAGTGCAAACATAAATTTTCAGCTTTCTACAAGCTTTGATTCTCGAGAAATATCGAATACAGCTTGCCTTAGTTGGGTGCCTTACGCTAAAATCCATATTTCTCGAAAACTAGTGCCTGTAGAGAGCTGAAAATTCACATTTGTACTTCTACAGGCTAGTAGTATACAACTATCTATGTAGGGACAGCACAGCATCGCTTCAACAAAAACAAGAAAATCTTCGTTTTCTTGATTTCTGACTATGGGAAAAAAATACGGCAACAGCGAATATATTAGGTTGTCCGGAAATTACTGCACGTTTTGAATTTCAACCGCGATAAGTCATACGCTTCTCACTTCTAAATAGGTTGCAAGGTACCATTTGATAGAGCAAAGCAAGCTCTACAAGATGGCCTTCTTGCTTTTGAACAGCTCACATCCACCTCGAGCTTCGAGCCAAAAACTAAAACGACTCAGCTTCCTGAAAAATCGAAAAAATCGTAACTTAGTTCGTAAAAATCCTACAAAAATTCTTATTTGCTCACGCAAACACTATCCCCATAAAACATCTACATACGTCTTTGCCTATTTTTTCTTCTGATAGAAATCAAGGAAACGGAAATTTTCGTGCATTTGCCAAAGTGATGCTGTGCCGTCCCCAAATAGGTAGTTGTATACCACAAGCCTGTAGAAGTACAGACTCAAATTTTCAGCTCTCTACAAGCTTTAGTTCTCGAGAAATTTTAGTTTGGACCCTAACGGGGGGAAGCTATAATCGGTATTTCTCGAGAACTAGAGTTGTAGAGAGCTGAAAATTTAAGTCTGTACTTCTACAGGCTTGCGGTATACAACTACCTATTTGGGGACGGCACAGCATCACTTTGGCAAATGCACGAAAATTTTCGTTTTCTTGATTTCTACCAGAAGAAAAAATACGGCAAAGAGTATATAGATGATTTATGTGGATAGTGTTTGCGTGAGCAAGTAAGAATTTTTGTAGGATTTTTACGAACTGAGTTATGATTTTTTTCGATTTTTCAGGAAGCTGAGTCTTTTTAGTTTTTGGCTCGAAACTTGAGGTGGATGTGAGCTGTTCAAAAGCAAGACGGCCATCTTGTAGAGCTTGCTTTGCTCTATCAAATGGTACCTTGCAACCTATTTAGAAATGAGAAGTGTATGACTTGTCGCGGTTGAAATTCAAAACGGGCATTAATTTCCGGACAACCTAGTAAATGTCTTAAATTAATAGTGTTTACGCGAGCAAATTAGAATTTTTGTAGGATTTTTTTAAACGAATTTATGATTTTTCCTCGATTTCTCGGGCAGTTGAAACTTTTTAGTTTTCGCCTTGAAACTCGAGATGGATCAGAGCTGATGCAAAAGCGAGATAGCCTTCTTGTAGAGCTTGATTTGCTCTATCGAACGGTACCTTGAAACCTATCTAAGGACATGAAGTTCATAATTTAATGCGATTGAAATCCAAAACGGACGGAACTTATGGGACAACCTGATAAAATAAAATAAAATAAAATAAAAATATATATGTAGTAAATATGAAACAAATATATTAGTAGTAATATATAACTATATTTATATATAAACATACTACTCAATTTATCAATTGTAAACACAATAATAAGCACAAAATAACAATTACAGTAATTTCTGAATTTCATAATTTAACTACGAAGCTTGCTAATCCATAGAGCGCTAAGGAGCACTACTTACGAATAACAATAGCAAGTGGATGATTGCTAACACAGCTATCTAATCTATAAATGAAATTTTGGATTTTCTTTCTTTCTTTTTTCTGTTTTCTTCTTTATGACTTACTAGTTTACGATCTTCCTCCACCACTGATGAGTTCCGGGAAAATCGTATACTTTGCCTAATTTCTGTATAGTGAGTAGGAATGAAACGGAATTAGGTATTTACTTTGTTTTTGATTATTTTTATTTACCTTACCATGTTAGGCCTTGGACAGACACGCGATTTCATCATCATGATTGGTCGCTACAAGACTAGTGTTACGAGTTCATTGCATGCCAATCTTCTCGTATTTCGGTTGTGATAGTTAGTCACGATTAGTCGTGTTGGAAAACTATCACAACCGAGTTACAAGAAGATCCACATGCAATGATAGGCATGCAATGGTATTGTTACAGTGGTTGTCGCGATCAATCGCGACGATCAAATCGCGTTAACTCTGCCCGAGGCCTTACAGTTCTTATGATTGTTTGATATATTTGGAGCGTGAGGCGAAATTTGTCTAGAAATACAAACACCTTTTTCTTACCATGGCGACTAACATCTGACTTACTTGCTCTGCGTCTTCGCTCTGAGTAACTTTGGAAAAGATGCTGACCATCTCACATCCGAAATTAGGCTAATTTTTGAAAAAACAAAACGAAAGTTACAAATTTGAACGAGAGCTGAAGCCTATCTTGTACATTTTTTGTAATTTCGATGTCTTCGATGTATAGTAGAAATAAAATCTCTTTTGCTTTAAAGTACTACGACTCAAGCTTACAGCAGCACGGCAATCCTTTTCTAAAGATCTTGAAATCTTGAAATCCACATGAAACTCCGCTTTTGGACGAACAATTTTGAAAACCTTACCAGCGAGTTTTTCAACATAGCCGCACTAGTTTTGCTGGAAAGTAATTTCAGCAAATATACTCGGTTGTTCCAAAAATTTTGTCTGGCTTACATGGACTCTTTTCTTTCCGACTTTTATGTAAGGATAGGGGTACTCGAATAATCGCCGGGGGCAGGCGGTGCGATTTATGGGCGGGCGGGCACCGGAAAAATAGTTCGCTGATTTCTTGCGGTCCGCTTGCAGGTATTTGAAAGAATTTTAGCGAAATTTTAGACGAATGCTTGAAGAACAATCGCGGTTTCCTTATAGATTAGCTGCGGCGCAGTGGCTGCATTCTCGCAGACTTTCCGCGAGAATATGCAAAATTTTCGGGGGCCGCACGGTCCTTTGTGGAGGACCACGCAGCCCCCAGGTATTCCGCTGAGAGAAAGTACGTCAAACTTGAGTAATTAAACCAACGGTGATAACTCTGCCACACAGAGTCTTCCTGCGCTCGGCGTATGCCCAAAATTGCTTAAAAATAGTCCGAGCGCTCACTGAATGTTTGGCCAGCGCTCGGTGAAAGAAATTATTTGCTGAGCGCTTGCAGAAAATGCTGCGTTGCTGCCCGCTGGCAGAATATGCAACCGTAAAGGAAGTGCCGCCAGCTGAAGGTTTGGCCACTCCCCAAAATTCTGTTGACCGCTTGCAGAAAAGCGCGAGTTTGCGGACCGCCTGCCCCCTGCGATTATCTGAGGTAGTATCCTATTGAGCAAAAAAAGCTTTACAGAATTATTTATATAAGGGTGAGCTTTCATCCACGTGAAGTTTGAAGCTAGCATCAAGAATTACCCTATTTTCACGTGGGCAAGCTGCATCCTGATTGCTTTCCTGGCAAAAGTCTCAAAAAATCCGCCTGCCATGGAATGCGTTAGTTATGGAAATGGAGGGATTAGCGACCGCTTCGCGGGGCACAGTGACGCACTCAAGTCCATTGTTTTCCTTCAGAGCAAGCTGACACGTAAAAGTAAAGTACCAATACATCAAGCATGTATATTTGCCATAATGCTGAACACCTTCAACTTGCCTCGTGAACGTACTAACATGCCAGAGCTGCTCTTATGGCTAAAAAACGAGTGACATTTAGAAAAACGAAGGCTAAATTAAATGAGCAGGCGCGAACGCGGCAATCGCATATTCACAATTGTAAGCCCTGCGCCTCATTGGGATCTGCGACTAATACCGCCTTCGAATCTCTAGGTTTTACGCCTTCGTCCGGCAGTAGCTTATAGGTGCAGGTGCTTCCTCCACTAATAGGAACCTCATGCGAAGAATTCATATCGCTCAATCTTAGTCGTTGATATGTACGTGCAAATGATGCACAAATCAATATTTATGAGTTTCTGATGTCATCTGTTACCCTATTGCGGCAGCAGATAGGTGCATTTTTAGCCGTAATAATTATTTTGGCCACTGCAGCGGCAAAATTAAACCATTTTTCTCAGTTTCTAGCAATAAAAGAAACACATTCATATGATATTTCATCCACAAATTGGCCAAAGTTGTGAGAAACGAGCTTTTGCGGAGAGTGGTGTGATTCTATGCAAAAAGAAAGCGGTATTCATAGAAAGTCATTATGGTAAGCTTGAATCATACAATCCAGTTAATGCACTGAAACAATTACAAGAGATTTTTTATTGAAATGGTTTTTTTATGCGATCCCTTCTTAGCCCGCTCCCATCACATTTCTAGCAGATCTCATACAGGGGCGCTGCGAGTGCTACCAATTATGCGACACCTCCGAGAGCTCCAGACATTCCAGGCATTCCTCCGAATGCTCCAGGCATTCCAGGCATTCCTCCGAATGCTCCAGGCATTCCAAACATTCCTCTGAATGCTCCAGGCATTCCAAACATTCCTCCGAATGCTCCAGGCATTCCTCCAAGTGCCCCAGGCATTCCAAACATTCCTCCGAGTGCTCCAGGCACTCCAGAAATTCCCCCGGGTGCTCCAGGCACTCCAAACATTCCTCCGGATACTCCAGGCATTATGGGCATTCCCCCGGGTGCTCCAGGCACTCCAAACATTCCTCCGGATGCTCCAGGCATTATGGGCATTCCCCCAGGTGCTCCAGGCACTCCAAACATTCCTCCGGATGCTCCAGGCATTATGGGCATTCCCCCAGGTGCTCCAGGCACTCCAAACATTCCTCCGGATGCTCCAGGCATTATGGGCACTCCCCCGGGTGCTGAATCTATTGTGCCAATCTTGTTGAGCATATCTGCAATGCTGTTCAGCACATTCGTCGCCACATTCGCTGCTGGAACGAGAAAATTGTAGACGTATTATGAGTCGTATGCATGCAAAACCCACCTCCCTCAATCTTATCTCTTGTCTTTTGCGACACCTTAGACGAGACTTGCCGCGGTCTACGCACTTTAGCAACGCTTGATATTGCGGCTGTATCGGCTGCTACTTGTTGCTCGATGGGATTATGCGACAGCGTTTTGCCAACAAGATAGAAAATTAGTGCCAACTGGATGAGCATATCTCAAACAAAAACGTATGAAGATATTTGTTAAGGATCCAGTTGGGTAGAAGACTATGCGTTGCCGAATGTACGATGGTCCCGCGTGTACTTCTTGCAAAAATGCAGCTCCATGCATGTGGTGCGTATTGTTGCAGTGAGCGCCGGGGTCGCCCCATCTCGGCGACATATAGTCCTCCACCCTTTCCAGTTGAGTTTACAAGGAAAGGATGCTTAGCCAAAGTGGCCTTTGACTATGTAAAGTATAGCGTTTCATAGGGGAACGAACATTATCCAAAAATTGCTCTCCTTATGTATTCTTGAAGGATGGTGAGCGCTCATTTTGGCAGAAACTTGGCTCAAGTGATATAAATTAGTCGTAAGTTTCTTTTAGCATATACATGGAAGTGATAGTTATTAGGTTGTTACATAAGTTTTGTCACACCTTCGTCTTCCTCTGGGCATTTGCACCAGTTATGACCCACCTTATTTGAAATCGAAATCAAAAGTTTCGTATGCCCGAAAATTAAAAAAAATTTCATATCTTATCTTAATCTTATCTTCAACAAAGTCCTACAGATCCCTAAATCGCTCAAGCATATACACTCCGCATCGGACACTCAAATGTGCAGTTGCTGTGTTTTTTCTTATTAGCTAGAAATCAAGAAAATGAATATTTCAATGTTTTTACCACTGTGATGCTGTGCTGTCCTTACACAAACAGTTGCATACTATAAACCCTCAGAAGTACAAACCTAGATTCTCAGCTTTATAAAAGCTCTAGTTCCCGAGAAATCTTGAAAGCGTGAAAAACCTGAATGTGGGAAGCTAGATTCGATATTTCTCAGGAATTAGAGCTTATAGAGAGTTAAAATTTACGGTTGTACTTCTGAGGGCTTGCGTTATACAACTATTAGTGTCTGATGCGTAGTGTATATGCGTGAACGAGTAAGAGGTCTGTAGGACTTTTGAACGAAATTATAAGAAAACTTCAATTTTTTGGGCATTCGAAACTTTTTAGATTTTGGTTTTGAACTCAAAGGGTCCAAAGCTGGTGCAAAATCATAGATGCCATCTTATAAAACTTGCTTTGCTCTATCGAACATTATTCAGATATCAATTTAGTATGAGAAGTGTATGACTCATCGCAGCAAAATCTCAAAAATGAAAAGATTTAAGGGAGAACCTTAAGAAATTCTCTTATTATGCTTTCCATCTTTTTAGGTTTCCTATGGACTTCTGGAAGCATTAGTAGTAATACTAAGACAGTTTGGAAGTTTATGCTCTTCAATAACCGAAATTGGAAATTTGCCGAAAACGATTCCCAAAAATTTCAAAAAATTTGAAATGATTTTCTTTGTGACAATCAAAAATGTGCAACATATAAGTTGGAGTAGATGGGATTTGTTTGACAAACTTGTAAAATTTTTGTCACTCGAATGTAACAAAACTTACACTCAGTTAGAGAACTTTATGCAATAAGAACTCTTACAAGGAGAGGATACTTAGTCGAAAGAACCAATCCAGATGATGCATATATCATCTGGACGTGCTCGGAGCGCTGATTTCAAATCTGGCAAAATCAGCTGCGGAGCGCCTTTGGGCAACGAGTTATGGTTGTTTTTGTGAAGAAAATTTGAAGTCGAGGGAAGAAAAAAAATTATACGCAGAAGTCTCCAGTTGGGCTCGAATGGGGGAGTGATGTCTGTCAGATTACTCTGCGCAAAGAGAAATGTCTGTCTGCTATACACACATTTAAAATGAGTCTGTCTGCAAAATATACATGTTGTAACAATCACTTTTACTCTCTTTACCCATTGAATTTTTTGGCTCTTGAAACGGTCATAGCTCCTTACCCAAAGGCGCTCCGCAGCTGATTTTGCCAGATTTGAAATCAGCGCTCCGAGCAGGTCACAATGATATATGTCTCATCTGGATCGGTGCTTTCGATTAAGTATCCTTTCCTTGTTAGATGAAATATGTCCGCACTCCGCTACCTTGAAGCTTGGAAAGAGCATAATAACTGATTCTATACTAACCGCGCACTCAGTTTTTCACACCATTGAGGCTCATACCTTACATAGAAATGCTCTGTTAAAAAAAGCAGACTTAGATTATCGTCCAAAACAGCATGCATACCACATTAAACGCTACTTTAACTGACCTTCCTTCTCTTGTCAGCGATGATATGCACTGTAAGATAACCGTCCATGATCGCAAATAAGCGTGTGAAAATAGAGCACCAATGAAATCAACACCTTGGTCTCATTTGCTCAAAACGAGCACCGATATGATCGGTTTCTGTCATGAAACCCAAAATCCTCGTATAAGCCCACAAAGCGCAGTTTTTCAGGTTTGAAAAAATGGATATTGTGAAAAAACATAAATATGTAAGATACATTTAAATAATTTACAATTTTCTGCTTGCAAAAGGGGAACAGCGGCGCAGTGGTGGTATGAGTCCCCCCCCCCTTACCCCCGAAAAGCTTTTTTTACAATGCTAATTTGAATTTTCAGAAAATTTTGAAAATTATTTTGATTGTTTATAGAAATAACAAGTCACTTGCGCATTTTTTAACTGTGTAAAATTCAATTTTTTGACCCATTCTCGGGGGAAGCGAACCCCCTCCCCCTGTCTAAGAATATCGGAAACTTGCTCTTATATATTAATATTAGGTTGATGCAAAAATAATGAGCGTTTTTCAAATTTTTATTCAACTTGCTATAACTTTCTATATAATCTATATTTTGAAATGTGGTAAAGACCATCGGATGCAGCGAACCTTTCGCAATACAACGCACATTAAGTTGCACTCATATCTCACACGGGCAGAAAAATATGAATTAAAAACACAAGAAGTTTTTTTCTGGAGTCTCGTTTTTGACAAAACCTAACTCCTTTCACAATTTGTTAGTATAATTTATAAGTAGCCTATCTTGTAGCCGCAAGTCAGTAGTACAAAGAAACATGGAAAGAGCTTGGAGAAAAGAGATTGACGGAAAGGAAAAAATCAAAATTTAAAAGATCAACTTTTTGACCATTTTTTCAGTAGGCCTCAAACTTCCGAATCATAGAATTTTCTGATTTTCTGTTGCTGAACAGCTGAATGTCTTTGCTAAAGCTGTTCACAGAATGTTCCACCCTCACGATTACAGAAATGAGCAAAACTTTAGGGATTGCATTCTACAAAAAAAAGATGTGGGCTATAGAATGATCGCAATCATTACCCATGTTAAGGCGCCGATAGCTTAGCTTAGATAACTTCAAAAATTATGGTTAGGCATGCATAATGTATACAATTTCTATTACATATAGTGGCTAAATTTTTCAAAACGCGCTTCAAGATGCGCTTAAATTCTGGCCAGAAAAGTGAATACAACAAAAATCTGGTTCTGAGTGCGGTCATTTCAAGCCCTATATATTCTTAACAGACTAGGCTAAATATCCGTTTCAGCAGCTTTGTATAGAGCATGAAGAGGGATTTTCAATAATGTGTTGAAGCTATTCCAGAGGAAGAAGTTCGATTGAGAAAAGTTGTCCAGAAAAAGTCCTAGAAAAACGCTTATTGAATTTGCATCAACCTAATATTGGTTGGTGCAAAAGTAATGCGCGTTTTGCGAGTTTTCGATTTGACGTACTACAACTTTCAAAAAATCCACATTCTTCAGTGCGGTAAAGACCGTCAGAAGCATCAAATATTTCCCAATACAGCGCACATCAACCCATGCTCATACCGCCAATGGGTACAAAATTATAGATTGATAAGCAAAAAAAATTTTTTTCTAAAACCCCGTTTTTAACTGATCATAACTCCCTTTAAAATTCGTTATTATAAATGGAAATAGCCTGTCTTGTAGAACCAAGCCAGTAGTACAAAAAAGTCGATGAGGGCTCAAACAAAGAAGATTTGCGAAGAGAAGAAAAATTAATATTCAAAATTGTCCGCTTTTTTCGACATTTTCGTAGGCCTCAAAATCCCAAAAATGGAGATTTTTGATTTTCTGTGTAATAAACAGCTTCCATATTGTTCAACTGTTTTAAGCATGTTTGCAGCGGTGAAGTTGAAAGACTGAATCTACGAAGCTGGCATACGAGATAGTTGCTAAGAATGGTTACCAACTGCAGCCCAAACCTCGCAAGAGAACATGCGCGAACGCTAGCAGTCAGACTCGATCACGTATATCGCTATGCTTACCGTTCGTGTCCGATAGAATAAGCAACGCTTTCAAGCAATGTCTAATACAAGCGCAATTGGCGGATGATGTTGTTTTAGTGAACATACCCCAAAACAACATCAAAAAGCAACTGGTCCGCAATGATTGTATGACAGACAATGCGTAATGCAGAACTACGTTGTTTGCACAGATGAGAGGTTAGGGGACTGTTCGAAATGCGGAATGATTTACCAGCTAGAATGTAAGATATGCCATGCCATTTACATAGGCGAAACTGGTCGACCACTTCACGTACGTGTCAGCGAACATCTGGCGAGTAAGAGAAGACAAAGTCTCGTAAGCCCTCTTGGAAAGCACAGGAAAGAGGACCATGGAGGAGATGATTTTGAAATCCAGTGTTGCATTTTGGCTGTTAAAGAACATATTGCTGCTCGAAAAGCGTTAGAGGCTTCATTCATACTTGCTCGTGATCCTAAAATGAACAGCAAGAACGAACATTTGTCTATCACTAGTGATCTGAAGCCGTTTCTACCATTTTGCGAGCTATGAGTGGCCTACACTATTTAAGCGTGTCGTACTTATTCGGACCGCTCATTTTGTCATCATCTGCTGTGGGCGACCGTGAGAGAGAGCTAACACCCTTACGCTCCTCACCAGGAACACTTGGTAAGCTGTTCAACTTGAGAACTTATCTGCGTCACAATAGATGAGTCAAGTGTACGGTTTGGAGGAGGTGTCTGGTGGTCTAGATCGTTTGATTAAAGAGTGATTGACTCGCTTTCAGGCCCCTGAAGACGGCATTCAGCCGAAACGTCGGGCAGTAAATAAAGTGTTCCTTTAAAAACCT